CTTGTTTGAGTTTGTTCTGGTCCTTCCTCTTCGTCGGAGGAACTGGATTCTTCAGACGATGATTCTTCTTCAGATGAAGTGACTTCTTCTTCCTTGGGCGAAGTAGCTTCTGCTTCGGGCGTACTGCTCATTAGCTATCAAGGTCAGCTTACCGATCAGGATCGATCAAAATGTTACGACGGCTTCCGGTCCTCTATAGTATAGCGGATGATAGGGGACTGGCGTCGAGGTTTTAGTTTAAAATAAGAAGAGGATATTAACTAAAGAGTAGTAACTGTCGTTCGTAGTGTCTAGTCGTAGTTACGTCGTAAAGACTAGGCGTCTTCTTCACCAGGTAGAGTCAGGCGTAGACTAATAGTCCAGGTAAAGACTTAGATTAATCGATGTCTTGTTCTCTAATAGAAGCAAGACCTAGGATACTCTAGTATATATATATATTTCCGGTGTCTGGATCGATATCCTTCCACTATAATCCTCCCAGGATCATGGGCTGTCCTGGATGATCCCTTCGGATCATAGGGATCATCTGTCGAGTCCTTCGATCTGATGGTCACGTGTCCGCACACGTGACCCGCGTTCCTCCTGACTCAGCTTGCCCTTCGTGCCATAGTGATATCCATACTTAAGACCCAGGGTCCCGTAGTGGCCTCGGCCCGGGCCTTGTCTTGTTGGCCGTAACATACTACTTCTACGGTACGGTATTATTACGGGAAATATACGGCCTTAAGGCTCGCGGAGAACAGTTATACTAATCGTTTATAGAGTAGTTAGCTATAGGCAAGTAGGAATCCGTTTAATAGGCTATCCTCCCCGAGTACCTTTTACTTTACTCTTTATTATATAACTTACTAAACCTCCTTTTCCATAACCTCTTACGTAAGTAGTATTACCACCGTCCTTAGCACGCCGCCGATACGCCTATTTTCTATAGGGTATAATATGGGGAAAAACTTCTTTATAAGGATTATCGCTTTCCCGTTATATATTATCGCGACTAGTCCGCCCGTGTTACGCTATAGGGGCGGGATAGATAGGAGGTTTAAGGGCAGATAGCTTACTATCCGGGCCTAGCGTTATAATACCTAAAGGCTTTTTTAGTCTACTACTCTTATATTAACAGCGCCACGCTAGCTTTTCCGCTTTTTTATTGTAACTAGAATATCGCGATATTTTTCTGCCTCTTTAAGTTTATTCTACCTACCGCGTAACCTCCGCCTATAATAGCGCCGCGTTAGCCTTATTACCTCTTTATTCGCCTTTACTATCTCCTATATCCACTATAACGGCCTATCGCGGAAGGCGGCTAGCTCGCGGCACGGCGCTATAACGTCCGCGATACTAATAAGGTCCTATAGTATCTAGTTTATTACCTAATCGATTACTTCCGGGGTAAAGGGTATTTCTTTATAGTCTAGCTTTTAGGCCTCTCTTTAGGCCGTTTCCCGGTCTAACTTCCTTTACCTTTATCCTATACTAGCGATACGCTAGCACGGTTACGCTATATCGATATTAATTACCTAGGCTATATAATCTAAGCCTATTAGGTCTAGATTATCCCCTTAGTACATATATATAAGGTCCGCCGAAACCTAGGTAAGGTCTAGTATACTATATTATCGATTAGTATCGGCTAAGGTCCTAATAATATATCCTTTCGGGGTTATAAGGTCGAGTTCCTATTGGTGCGCGAGCGTAATAAAGTCTTCTAATTATCTTTTATATCTATTATACCCGTCCTAAAAGGGGTTTTTTAGGTTAAAGTCTCCTATTAGGATAGTATACTACCGCTCCGGTTCTGCAGTAAGATTATATAGTAGGGTTTTTTACTCTCCTCCGTTATAGTATAGTAAGTATACTACCTATATATTCGTCTCCTACTCTTATATCCCGACTCTAATTATAGCCTAGGCCTAATCCTTACCCGTACGCTACGTAAATATAATAGCCTTATACCACTTATATATATAAAGCAGGGCGCGTCTACTCCCCTATACTATCCTATAATTATATCTCCTTAGGTAAATCGGGTTCTTCCTTTTATCTAACCCGGGCTTTATTACTATTATTATATTATACCCGTTATAGTTATAAAGCGCCTATTATACTCTATCCCGCTATCCCCCTATATTCTACTAAGCGATTCTAATTATTGATCTTAGGCGGCTATACCGTGCTTATTTCGCTTTATAGTTACGCCTTAGGTATAGCCCGGGGGTAAGGGGTAGGGCTTTATAGGGGCTAGAAGGTAGTATTAAAGGCGAGGAACCTTATAATATTATTATCCTAAGTAGGCGTAAAGAGGGCGGTACGTAATCTAAGGAGGATATTCCGCGACCCGAAAGGGCGTCCCTTCTATTTTCTCTTTTTCTTAGGCGGTTCGGGGATTATTATCGTGTCTAGTAATACTATAAAGATACTACGCTCCCTCTCTGCCCTATATTTCTTAAGTTAGCTAAGGTTAACTCCTTTTACCCTATTAATATATACCTCCTTAATCCGCGTCTTTTCCTTTACTTTACTTAGATATGTATCGTTAAATACTATATACGGCCCTTTATAAGCGGCGTAACGCCTTTTCTTCGGGTCTATCTTAGCTTTACACGCCGCGAAACCCCTTTAATACGCCGACTCTACGCCGCCGTAATACCCGTATAGCGCTTTTATCGTATAGCACTAACCTACTTTATATCCGAAGTTAAGGCACTTAAAGCACCGTTATAGGGAGATCTTAGGGTTATAGGGTTTATTATTATAGTGTCCGTAATTAAAGAAGACTCTTTCCTTTATTAGTCGCTCCGCGTTCTTAGGGCGGGCGATATTAATAGTTAGTAGCGCTATCCGCGCTATATTGTTCCTAGGTTTCCTAGCCTTAATCCGGGTAATTGCCACGTTATTCTATAGCCGAAGTTCTTATAGCGCTATATCGGGGTTATAAGTTAATAGCTACGCCGTCGGTATTCCTTTTACTATAACTTAGTACGTTTTCTCGTGTATCGTGGCTCCTATACTAAATACGCCTTTAACCTAATTATTCGCGTTCGCTATCTACTATTTATTCCTATACTTAAATATAAGAATTATATCGTTACTCGGGAGTTATCGCGCGGCTATTATATTTACACGGCGGGTAACTTAATTCACCGCCTTAGTAATCTCTTATAGGGTTCGGCTTTTAAGGTCGGTCTTAGCGTCTTTATATCGGATTATTAGTTCTCGGGTGTATCGGGTAGGTATAACCTTTACCGGTGCTATCTCGATACGTTAGCGTTACACGGGCGTGCCCCCTACTACCTAAGCGTAGGTCTTAAGTCCTACTACCCTAAGTAGTTCTATTAGTATACCCTTAATCGCTTATTAGATCGTGTCGGTAAGCCCTTTACTCGTAAGGGAAGGTATATCGTTACCGGGTTATTAGCGTAGCGGCTTCCCTATAATAGTCTTATAGTCTTATATTTAAAGGATCTTCTATACTAGCTTTAGCGCCTTATCGGCGCTTACCCTATTAGCTAGTAGTCCGGAAAATTAGGTACGTAGTTTATATAGTACACCTTCGGTACGCCCGCTTAGTGCCTAGGACTTTTAGGACTCTGCCGGGGCTACGCGCCCCGGGTTAGTTCTAATCGTCGTATTCTAAGCGCTCTATAGTGGTATACCGGTATCGTATTCGGTTAGCCCTACGGGCCGCCCTATAGTATATAACTCACCGCGCCCTCTACGGTCTCCCTACCATATCGGTCTCCGGTGCTTTTAAGGGCGTAGAGTCCGAATCCGATATCAGAATTGATTTTATCGATAATACGGCACCTTAGGGTCACTTTCGGCTTAACGATACTCCTTTTACTTTAATATACTAAAAACGCGTTTAACGGTATTATAGTGGCCGGCGTGGAGGTAGTTAAACCGCTCCTTTAAGGATCACCGCCTACACTTAAATTTAGAGAAATCTTAAAGGTAGTACCTCTCGCCGTCGAACTAGGTAATACTACCTTTAATATCGCTGCCGTACCCACTATCTACGAGGTAGTACCGCCTATTAGATATATAAAAAGACTCTTTAGCGAATGCCTCTTAAAGCAACGAAGACTTATTTATACTACCCTTAGCTTCTACTAGGATATAGGTAAATAAGAGGTTAAAATCGACTACCTCGAGGATATTTTAGGTAAGTTACCTTTTACGGTTATAAAACCGCCGTTATTCCTAAGGGGGGATCCACGCCGCGATATATATACCGTCGATTACTCCGATATAGCCGTTAAACTAATTATTCCGTTAAGATAGTCTGATATATCGCGAGACGTATATTTATAATAGGGTTGTAACGTATTCGATATAAAGCTAACGTATTATACCTAGGCCCTTATTAAAGATCCGAGATCCCGTATTTAAAGATATCTTAAAGCGGTAGTATATATTATAGGGGTATACGCCGTGACCGATAATATAAAGGAAGAGTATAACCTTCTACGTTTTTATATAGTAAGAGGTCTCTTTAACTATACTATCTAATATAATCTATTCTATTAGGCGATAAAATTTATTCTGACTTAATCTAAATAGGTCCCGAAACACTATATTGAAACCGAGAAATGACCCCCTTATAATCCCTAACGTTATAGCCGGATTATTCCCGTACGAATATTAGGAGGTATTTTTACGCCCTTAGAGGCGTCGAGTGACTTTAGGTCGTTATAAGATTAATATTAGGACTATAAGATCGAGATTAGTGGTAGTATAGTTATCGTGGTGGGTAGGGATAGCCCCGCCTACGGCGGCGCGGCTAATAGTGGATCCTATCTTATTAACGATTTTCTAAAAGCTATTAAAGGTTAAGAGCTTTTATAGCCACTCCTATATAAAAAGCGACCGTTTTTTAGAAAAACGTTAATATGAGGATCCCTGCCTAGCATAGTACTTCGATAACCGGGGTATAGTAGAGGAATACATAAAAAATATAGTTATACTAAGAATATTATATAAAAGGGGGCCTTATGTTATGGGTGGGTTATGAGTTGTGCATTTTTTGTACATTTTGATACATTTTCAAAAGTTGTTGAAATTGTCGAACGGGGCCTAATGTATTTTCATATAGTTATTTATACAGGTACTACTTTTTGACGCAAAACTGGCACAGACAATTAGTACAGGATGGTTTTCGGTATACGCGCGATAATACCACACGCACCATTTTCCACGGTCCGGGCATTTGCTGTTTTACGATGTATGATTTTCTCAAGGTCTTCAATGTTCCCTAGCAGTTGCTGGATCTTAGATTCGTAGAACCGCTCTGCATTTGGGCGATTCTACAGATGGTGAGTACGCCACCCCTCGAAAACAGGACTGGAATCCGGCTGTCCTTACCTTCTCAATGTAATAGCCCGTCCCAATGTCGACGATTACATGTTTGGAGTTTGTCAGGTCCCCGCGGACATAGAGCGAACTGGTCAAGGGAACGAGGACGGATTTCTCAGCTACTGGAACGGTTGATCAACCAAGTCTACCTGATCCACGGCAAACCATCAGTAATATAAATACCTGATGGTGTCTTGACGATTCTAAGACATTCGCTGAATTTGCCCTGGACGGCATGGAGCTGGGCGAAAGACTGGGTGAGGTGGTCAAGTTCTTCATCGATTTGCTTCTTGACTTGAGTTAACTGCTCCGCGTTCAGCGTTGCAAGATTGACTGAAACAGTCAGAGAGGACACTGAGGTGTAGAAAAAGGCGTTATCGAGATTCACCTACTCAAATCGGCTTCGGGTTCATGGGCGGCCATCTTGTGGTGTAAAGAATGGAATGCTCGGTGTAACTGATTATGGATGAATTGCGATGCAACGCGCAAGTTGCCAGTTACGCACTTTGTTGCGTGCAGACTATTATCGCATGGGCACAGTGTGGCATGGGCATAGACTATGCCTGGCAAACTATGTCAGATTAAGCGTAGTCGAAATCGTCATAAAATAGGTCAAAATTGATTAAGGAAATTATGTATAATTATAACTGTATGGGACCGTTAGGGAACCGCTACTACCGTATTTTATATAGTGCAGATTCTGTAAGCGTCCACCCAGATTATAATCTTAGTAATCCGGACCGTTACGTAACCGAAAAGACTATAGTCTATTCGATATACCCCCTAATCACCCTAAACGTTAGTTAGGCGACTAAAGCTATTTGTAACTAGTAGATATAATAGCTATTTAATCTCTTCGCTATAGCCGCCCTTAAATTCACCCTCTAGGTCCTCTATATATTCTATTCGGACTTTCTTCTAGCTATTTTTACTATAACTATTCCCGTCTATCCATCACGCCCACCTAGGACCTAAATATCTTAAATTTCTCGCCGTATAACGCCTTTATTAGCCCGTCTACAACTATTTCCGCGCTCGTAATATATATCACGAGTATTTAAGCTTCTTCCTTAACGTAATTAGTGGCCGTGGATATCGACGTAGTAAAGGCGCGTTAGTAATACACTAATCTCTTAATTAACTAACCGAATTATTTAGTTATTATCGTATAGGATCCTTAATTACGGCTCGTTAAATTCAACTCCTATACTACATAATAGCCGTTACATAAACATACCCTTATTTACACCTTATACTATTGCCAATAGCTCTGCTTCCGTTATTAACGTTATAGCCGTATCTTCCTAGCACGCTACGCGATAGTTCCTCTATATAAACGTATTACGAACGCTTAACTGCTTTTACGATCAAGGGTATTATCGGTAAAAGAGGCGTTAGTATAGATTTTAATAGTATGCTGTCCCTTAGTTCTAATATAAACGATTAGCTATTAATTGGATAGAAGCTTAGATAATCGGCGGCCTTATAGTGTATTGGCCCTGGATTAGTATTAAAGCTGTATAGTCTTAATAATATAAAGGCGATATCTAGCCGCGATATCACTGCTATATATAGCATAGATCCTATCTTCCGTTACTAGCTTTTGATATTAGTCTAGGTCCCTAAATAGAGTAGTAGTTTTATAACCTTAATTAGGTGTGTTAGGCGATAGATACTACTATAATTACTATTATTCGGCTTTAATAGGCGTTCTAACTTAGTAAGGTAGTCACGCTATAATAGCTAGATTTTGCGTTTAGTATAGTCGCGAATAACCTTCATACTAAGCAACCACTGTAAAGGATCGCTACCTTATAGGTTATAGTAGCGTTATAGGTTATTAATAGCCTACTTTATCTAAGCCTTATATTCTTGTTTATAAGTAATAACGATATCGTTAATATAGAAAAATAGGATTAAACCGCGATATAGAAACTAACACGGTTCCTACGGTACTATCTAAAAGCCGTCCGCTAATTAGATAGCCGAGAAGTACTTTTACTAAAGTAATAGGGATTTCTTAAGACTATATAACGCCTTTTTTAGGTATAAACGACCCCTAGCGGCCGGAAACCCTAGCGGCGGGTATATAAAGATATTATAGAGAAAGGGCGTATATATAAACTCGCTTATTATATCGATATATAGTAGCGTGAGGTTAAAACGGGCGGTGATAGCTATTATCGCGCCGAACGACCGTCTTGCTAATATAGCTATATACGTCTCCCTGAAAGAGGATTAATACTACTCATCTCCTCGTACTATAAGCCGTGTCTTATATTTATATAGAAACCTATACTTATCGAATTTATATATTATTATCTATATTGAATTAGAAACCTGATTTCTATCTACTATGGACGCTAGTACCTATATCTATACCCCTATCTCCTTATAGCTCTATAAGTAGTCTTTCTATACCTATCGGAATAGGTGGCCGTAAGGGTATAAGGGTATATCGTAAGGGCTTTTTGTAGGAGGAGGGAGGTCTTTACGATAGATTATTATAGCCGCGAAAATACCCGCTGGAACCGTGTTTTCTAAGCTGCCGCCGGGGTTATATTTCCTGAGGCTGCTATTAGGGCCGTAGACTTTAGTAATAGCGATAATCGCCGCTGTAACATTATAGGCGTAGTCCTTATTAACCGTAATTTAGTTCGCAAAGCCTTGTTTAATATGTATATATATCTGTGGCGTGACGGCTAGCGTTAAAGGCTACTACCTAGTAGTCGCTTTTCTAGCTATCGCCTTACAGGTTAGGGCGCGCTTCTTTATCTATACGAAGCCCTATAGCTATCGCTCTAAGTATACCACGGTATTATATTCCTGTATCCATAAGCAAGCCTATAGCCGTAAGGACTTTACGATAATTTCCTAAAATCACGGCTACTATTAGCGCTATAACCAATAGCGGGGTTTCTGGTAGAGTAGGAAGCTATAGACTAATTGGCTACTATAAACGGGGATTAAGCATCGTACTAGCTAAATTTTATAGTTCGTGATCTAAATCTTATTCTTTTAGACTCGAGATAGTCTCCTTTTCCCCCTTAAGGCCGGGTATTACTAAATATAACCTCGACGATACCGTCCAGGAAAGGGACCCGGGGGGAACTAGCCTCGGTAAAGGGTTAAGTTTAAAATAAGTAGTTATATAAAGGGGGGGTCCTTAGCTTATACGTCCGTAAACGGCTATCAATCTCTAGCCCTCTCCTACTTAATCTATCTAATCAGGTCTTCTAGTTACTCCTCGGTTAATTAGTAGAGGTTATTGTTAAAGGCGTTAATATCGCTATTAAAAAAGCCGTGTTCGTTAAAATCAATATCGCATATACGACTAACGCGGTTATAGCGGCGTAGGCTAGGCACTAAGATACGGAAGATATTAGTGGAATCATAGCCGATAAGGTAGCCGATATAGGTATAAGGAGCGATACAATTGAATAGCTTATTAATGCCCTTTTAGGGGTCCTTTACTACTGCATATACTTTATAACCGTAGGCTCGAAGATAAATTAAAATCTGCTTTCTAATAAAGAGGACCTTATATAGTGTTGTCTAATCCTTATTATTATAGTACCTTTGTAGCGTGCGGTTATAAACGTATATAGCCGTGGGAATAGCCTTAGGCTATATAAACCGCGGGAGCTTTACGTGGATATTTATCGCAGGACCCTGCGAAATCACCACGGCAATAGCGCGTTCGGCACTCCTGTTCTACGCTTATATATCGGCAGCAGATACCTCTAATAGGATGCCCTCCTCCCGTAGGAAGCGGGTGTCGTTATTGGATTAAGGTGCCTTCATATTAGCTTCGAAAACACGTACCTTATAGCCTAATTAACGGTCTACCTAGGCGAAGAATTCCTTAATTATTACGAGGATGTCCGCTGTTAGTTTACTTTTTATAAGGTAGGTGGCCGTAAAGCCATTATAATAGTCAGTAAAAATATAAACCGCGAATCCCTCTCGGATATTCGTTTAAAATCCATGGAATTATTGTCGCACGTTAAATAGGCACTTGAATGATCTACTTAGTAGAGCAGAAATCTCGTGTATGTGTATTATGTTAAGTTATATCTGGGGGAGTCTCTTATGCCCAAAATCTTAGGTGGTGAAGACTCTGTTAAAGGTACTAAGTCATTTGGATCCTATCCGGTCTTTTCTAGTATCCGCCCCTATTATATCCGAAGCCCTTAGTTATAGCGTAGATCCCCCCTGGATCCCCTATAGACCACGTCGTGGTCCGTGTGCCTATACGACACACCCCCTTAGTTAAGGTAGGTCTTCTTAGGTTAACTGACTAATTACAGGGTTCGGTTTAAACGAAACGCTCTTAACTTTGCTATCGTAAAATTAATAGTTAAGGGAAAACGCCCTTATAAAAGGGATCTAAATCCGCCCTATTTAACCGTTTAATTTAATTCTATCTTAATTAGTTCCTCGATGCTGATTAGTCCAATCTGCTTAATTTATATCTATCGGATCTGCTACGCCCTCGGAGGCCTTTATAGTCGCTACGGCCGTGGCTTTAGCACGTTTAATTTCTTTGTATAGTCGTTTAGACTACTTAATACGATCCTTTTAATTAGTTAAATTAAGCTGTTGCTGTAGTCTTTTAATCCCCGCCTCCGGCAGTGCCTTCGTTAAACCGTCCGCGATTATCTCCTTCGTGTTAACGTACGTGACCTTAAAAAGGCCCTGCTATACTAACTAACGTGCCTACTAGTTACGAATATCGATATGCCGTAGCCTTATTCGCAGGCGTTATGCCTTCTTATTAACGAGGTCAATAGTCTGCTGATTATCGTAGTATAGCTGTAGTTACTGTTAGTCTAACCGAAGCTCTAAATCTCTTAATATCCGGCTAACGAATAACGTCTCTTTAGCGGCCTCTATAAGAGCGAGTAGTTCCGATTCTGTTAAAGATATCGTGACTATTAGTTACTTACCCACCTTCTAGTTAACGGTTCCCCCGAAGAGCTTTATCGTATATCCTTATAAACTCTTACGGTCTGGGTTATCACTAAAGGACGCGTCGCTTACTATCAGGAAGAGTCTATCCCCGCCGAATTCTAGGCAGTAGTGCCTTATATAGTATAAGAATAGCAGCACTTATTAAGCCCTCTCAAGGTGGTTAGAGGAGGGGTTAACGTTATATTAGGAAAGCTTTGAATAGGCGAACGCGATATCGGGTCTTATCACGATAGCGGAGTATAGGATAGAACCGATTATTCCCTGATACTAACGGACCTCGGGAATCGTCGCGCGTGTGCCGTTACGTGGTATTAGTGGTTCTGTCGTTAATAATAGGACCTTTAGTGATTTTCGGTAGAGGATATCTACGCAGTATTTAACCACGATCTTCTCCACGTAGGAGGATTATAATAGCTATAGCCTACGGGTGGCTCTATCCCTTAGGACCT